CCGAAAGTCCCTCCTACCGATGCCACCCTCTCTCTCTCCTTCTCTCTCTCACTCACAAATCGCGAGAGGCCCTTGTTGTTGTCATCGACGGCGGCGGCGGCACTGCTGCTGCGGGTCTGGGAGGGCGGGAGCACGAAGTCCGGGTGGTAGTGCTGCAGGGTCACCGTCCGGCCAAAGTCGCTACATCCCCCGGAGCAGAAGTCGAGGACCTTATCCTGCACACACGGATATGCGGCAGTCCCGTTCAGGATAACAATGGAGAAAACGTCAGGGAGCGGGGAGCCGGGGGGGGGAGGAGGCGTACTCATGCCTCAGCGGTCAAGACCATTCCACGCGTCCTCGAGAGGACGGAGAGGGTAGAGGGAGGAGGAGGGCACCAGATGGCAGAAGGAGAATAAAAGAGGAGGAGGCGCGGGCACAAGCAAGCATGGGGTATGTTATTCAGCCAAGGAAAACACGCAAGCACAGCCAGGGGGGAGGGAGATAGGGGGGTGCCACCCACGGCGGAAGAAGCAGGAGAGCGCACATGAATCACCATTGAGACATGAAAACGCAAACACGCGCTTGCTTCGAACCGAGCACGCTATTTGACAACTGGCTGTCCCATAGCTATCCGTCCCAGTTTTGCTGCTGCCCCAAATGCCCGCCTCGCTCGCGTGACGTGCCCCCAGCAAGAAGCACCAGCTTGAGGTCCCGCTCGAGCTTCACTCTACATACACGTGCAAACACAAACCGCGAAGTCTTGGCCTTCAGCCCCTCGGGGGACGAAGCGATGAAGAAACATGTTCCAATCTCTTCCGACAGAGACGGGTCCTGCCTGGGTCTAGATGCACTGCTGTGAACCAGGTTCGACATTGCTGTCGCGGTTGGTTCGATATGGACTTTATTTAACTCTCCCGATCAAATCTAGACAAAAGCATCTCACCTTTGACCTCTAGGGCGCCATGTTGTTCCGGGGCCGATACATGGGGGCCTCGACGGCTGGGATCAATCCTCAGAGGGTGCTCCGTACACAAAACTGCTCCGACCTACCCAACCCATGTATGTGTAGAGGAAGGAAAGAACGATGCGCCGCTGGGGCTGTACGCCAACATCAAACTAAACGCATGACGGTGTCTGCTCCCTCACCAAGCTCCCCCGTGGACCGGACACACCTTACTCAACTCGAAGAAGGGGTGCTAAGTCACCAGCCAAGTGCAAGAATGAACGCTTCCTGATCTTCTCCCTGTACCGAGGTTACGTCTTTGTCTCCACCCTCTTCCCCTGACCCTGACAAACTCCACCCTTGTCTCTCTCTATCGCTTTTTCTTTCTTTCTGTCTGTCGGTGTGTGTCTCTCCCTCTCCCTCTCCTTTCTCTCTCTCCCTTTCTTGCGCTCTCTCTCTCTCTCTTCCGTAAACACACTTACCAGGTGGCGCATCATCGCGTAGTTCTTGAGCAGGGCGCAGCGGGGAGCCACGAAGAGTGCGTGCGCGGCGTAGTCGTGGTCACCCGCCATCGCCGAGTACTTCTCCTGCGCCATCATCGCGGCCAGGCTCCAGAACTCCGACAGGACTTCGGGCAAGGTCTCAGCCTTGCAGATGTGAACCTTCGTATGTTGTTTCATGCGAGCGTGAGGCCGTGTGCGTGAGTTTCGATGGGTGGGTGGGGGGGGGAAGGGGGGTTGCACTAACCGAACCCATTCGGCCATTGACAAAGCGCTCGCGGCTGCTGTCTCCATGACCAGAAATATGATCCCAGCTCTGCTCAGTACCTTCCGGCATTTGCACACATACCGGTCCAACTTACAACGCGGACGTCTTCCCCGGCGTGAGCGTATGGGTTCCAACAAGAGCACGTGCTGTGGGGCATGAAGAAAAAAAATAGCGGTTCCCCCCGTTAAAAGCACTCACCCGCTTCCCCTGGAAACGGCGAAGGTCTAGGGACTCCTCAGCCCAGGCCTCGACGGCCTGCTTGATGAGCGTGTTCTGGCGCCCGAAGCCGCCGGTGGCGCCACGGCGAGGGTGGCGGCGGCGGCGGAGCTTTTCGTCATCGCCGCTGCTGCTGCCGCTGTTCTTCTTCCTCTGCTCCTCGTCCTCCTTGTCCTTACCCGGAGCCGCGGAGGAGGAGGGCGGGTCCGCCGGCTTGGCGCGAACGCTGCCGCCGCCGGCCCTCCTGCGACCCCTGGTGCCGGCGGAGGTACTGCTGCTCGAAGAAAGGGGGCAACACAGAAAAGGGAAGGCTACTGCTTAGTGCATACTGGTAGGATGGTGCTGTACATGAACATGTTTTGTGCTGCTGCTCAAAAGAGGGACGACACATAGAAGAAGAAGGGCTACTTCTGAGTGCATATGTATAGGATGGTATATGGCATGTATTTGTAGGGATGGGAATGGAGAAGAGGGCGAAGAGGGTAACTCCATGAACGTCGAAGGCCCAAGCCACCCAATAGACTTGAGGAGGCTCGTTGACATGACGATCTCAAAAACATGGTTCGGGAACGAGAGCGAGAGGGAACAAAAGAGGCAGCGGCGCGACAAGAAAAGCCCGCGTGGAAACGCATACGAGAGGCAAGGGGCACTGCCGCTGTGGCAACTGTGGCTCAAAGTGCCGAGTTAATATTGCACACAGCCCACGTATGTTCCCCGCGTACTACCGCACCCGTCGCAGTGACGCGAAGTGGATTTGTTTCCAGCTGCTTTTATCCACATTGTGGAAAGCCTGTGACTACTTCTGTTGTACGCAACACGTTCGATTCGCGGTCGATGACACGAGGAAAATGCACCGTTGAATCCTTCTCTTCTCCCGAACAAACCAAGGCGAAAGCACTGGAGACAAAAAAAATACCCTACTCTGTGGCTGGCTTTCCTCCTGTGTGGCCCCGGTTGATGATGCGTCCCGAGAAAAAAAAAGCAACGGTACGTACGTACAGCTGTCTGTGAAGAAATGGGACGACATTCACCCGTTGCATAATACGGAGCAGAATTTCCGTTGTCTTTGTTGCGTACTGTCTACACGAACGCATAAATTAAGAGCAGGTGGATCTCAACCAACATCCTCCCTCCTTACAAGAGCTTTTCAGGTTTGTTTCCTGGAGGCGGCAGAGAGCACCACTGCCGGCTCCGGGGAGGGCGGGGCGACGGGTTTAATCCACACCCGTCACCAAACGGTAGATGGTTTTGTCGGGAGGTGCGTGTGGTCGCTACTTTTTGCATTGCATTCTGTTCCGACGCACTTCGCACCCACTGGGAGATGAAACGTCGACATGAACTTGAATTTGAAAATCGCCACCGGTTGCCACCCCAACCCCCAATCAATATGTATGCCCAACCACGGCACAAGACGGTGGTAAGGGGAAACGATGCACGCGGGATAATGGGGCGGGGGGGGGGTAAGTCACAAAGAAGCTCTCAGCGTAGCACTTCGCGTTTTCAAAAGCCCGCCCGCGGTTTACACTCTGCAGAAAAACGTAAACAGCTGGACAGACGATCATCCTGGTTTTTTGACTGCCAAATAAATGAGAGATCTGTTTCGTATTTAGAAGAACAAAGCGTATGGTCTATCATCTTTGTCGCCTGCCGTGACGACCAACCCGAATTATTTCCGACCGATGCACGCGGGGCCAGGGAAAAGAAGGTTGGGGGTGGGGGGGGAGTGGTGACACCCTATTACGCGTCCACATGGGAAATGCGCCGGCCCGGCCTACCTTCTCCCCGTCTGGAATGTTGCCGCTGATGATCTGCGCTGCTGCTGTTGGATCCTGGACACACCCGGCTGGTGAAAACCCCTGCCGCCGCAGCACAGCGTGGAGGCGATGACAACCCCCAGCGCCAAGCCGCCCCGTGACTTCATTCTTTCTGGTTCCTTCCAGGTGCTCTTGCGACCGAGAGGTATGTGCAGTCTCTCGGAAAAGGGAAGACAGCGACCTTATAGATCGGAGTATCGATCTGTGATCTTCGCTGCAGTTTGAAGGTTCTGGAATTTCTGCCCTCTCGCTGTTGATCTTGCCGCGGACGTGTACTCTTGAGAGTTCAGGACGGGGAGATAGCCCGAGGAGAACTGCGACCAAGCAGGAGGAAGCCACAGACGATGAGCCGTGGTCGCGCGCGGGGGGGGGTTGTT